AGTAGTAGTAGTAGTAGTAGTAGTAGTAGTGGTAGTGGTAGTGGTAGTAGTCGTAGTAGTAGTAGTAGTAGTACTAGTAGTAGTAGTAGTAGTAGTAGTAGTAGTAGCAGTAGTTGTCGTCGTCTTTGTAGTGGGAGTTGGAGTCGTCATAACAATATGAGTAGTAGTCGTCGTAATAGAGGCAGCACGACTGCTGCTATACGGCTGATCCTGCTGCTGCTACTGTTGCTGCGTGGTACTCGACTACGACGACGAGGAGGACGACGACGACATTGACGGCGACCAATACTACGACTACTCCGCCCACCCCTACACCGACGGCGACGACCGCTACTACCCTGACTAATGCTAACGACGGTCGGCACTGCAGCTTCTGGTGCTGCTGCTATGATTACTGCTACGACTACGATCAGCACGACCACCCCGAACTCCACGATCACTGTGACGGCGATGACGACAATGTCGACGACTATTTCAGACGATTTCTGCGCAGAAATGGGAGGGTGGCAACAGAAGAGAGGAAGTCCCAGGCAATTCCTCTCCTGCTCAGGCACGGCCTGAAGTTGGCATCAGACATGACCACGACAAAGGCCTGCTTTTCGCGCTCAGGCTCCACGGAAAAGTCTTGAAGAACCTGATGGGCAGCTCTATGCTATCCAAGTTTGCATGACGTGCACTGGCTCCAACATGCCACCCTGGTAGCTATGTTTTGTAGTTCCGGATAAAGCTGAGACAGCCCCTCACTGTCCAGGCGGGTGACTCTGGATGATTGTTGATTTTGAGTGCCAGAGTCTGAAGAGCCAGGGTGCAGCAGGGAACAAGGTATAGTCACAAGGGTAGCAGCACCCTCAATTTACACTCTTTGAAAGCATAAAGAAGAGATGAGGGCTTGACACTGGAGGTTACGGGACCAACATGCTGGAGGAGCGAAGCGCGATAGAACATCTGAAAGAACAGATTGTAATCCGCTCCATCAAACATGGCGCCAAGTGAAAGTGCTTCAAGTGGCGCTATCACAGTATGCTGGCCTGCTGTCCACTTCCATTCCAAGGGAAGCTTGAAGTACGAAGCCAGCCCGCTGTAGCACAGTACGACCGAAGCAGACTGTGCCAGTTTGAAGCGGACGGCTTGAGAGCCTTCGATGACGATAATGATGATGATGACGATGATGACAATGGCAATGGTGACAATGATGATGGTGATCATGATCATCATCGCCATCATCATCATCATCATCATCATCATCATCATGGTGGCTGGTACGGTGGTCACCCTCGCATCGACAAGAATCACGACAAGAAGTGGTGACAATTAAAGCTGGTGAAGAAATGTGAAGAATCCATGACGCATGCCTTCGAGGATTTGCGGATTGCCCCTCCGGTTTGCTAGATGTAGTGGAAGATTTCAGGCCAATGCCCACCACTCTCTTGAGGGTCCTCCACTCCCCATCAGGACCGACAACCTCCCCTGCCGTTTCGGCGTCATGATTGCTGCTCACACCACTCATTCAAACTTAGCCATTGGCTGTGGAGGGACACCGGGCACAAATCAAACTAGAAGCATGATCGGCAGTCTGCGGGAAAGGAGTGGGTATATATGACATTGTATGACGCTCGTTTGCCGCAGACTCGACTCTCCCAATCCATGGGCAGGGGCGTGAGGTAATGTGAGGGAACAGTGTCACGAGAGTCGTGCAGACCGACTCGCAGTCCAAGCTCTGGACGTAGTCTATGGCTGCATCCGTCGCCTGCCAGACTTCGCAGAGCCGAGTTGAGGCTTCGCTTCACGCTCCCACCTCGATAGTGTTGTCCCCCGGAAAGCAGAATTGGCTGTGTGCCAACATCTTCTGGAGGATCTTAAGCCGCTCCCCACCTGGCCCAAAGATACTGTAGCTGACCGTGGATAGGCTGCAGCTGTGCTAAGGCGTCCGCGATTGGCTGGCGGGTGCCCGAAGCATACAAAGGGGATATGAGCACTCTCTCCAGAGTGGCCAAGTATCGCGTAATCCTCAGTGTCGGTGTCCCGCTGCGCTGCGCATGAACGCCAGGAATACAAGGTTTCAGCCAGGAGACAAAGTTTGTGTGGCCCTCCATACTTTCCAGAATCAGGCATGTAGCTTCCAGCATTCGGTTTAGCCGCCCATCCAAACTGTTGAAGCGGTACATTGAACCAGAGCAGTCCATGACGAAGCACAGGCGTCGCTTCTGCCTCGTCAAGACTGAAATGGCATGTGCAAGGGCTGCAAAGATCTGCAAAGGCCACTTTATGGACTGGTAACTAGCATGTTCCCACCCCATGCATGCACGCCGAGTTCGCCTTTGAAGGGCAAAAGTCAGACAAACTGGCTTCAACGCTACTGATGCAGAAAACCGCGGTATCGCCTTGTGGTATTTTCGCCGTGCTGGTTTCGTACTTCAGCTTCTCCACGCTTCTTGTAGACACTGCGTTCTCCTGCAATACCTTCCACCAGTCGCGTGTCATCCAGTTCACCATCGGAGCAATTTCTCCTCCAGACACGCTCTGTCTTCTTGTCCTTGGCATCTCGGAAAATAGCCCGCAACTGTGCCACTTGAGGTTCGACGTTGCAGAGAATGTCTTCATATAGAGCCCACATAATCCTGCAAGATCGCGCGATCGCATGCAGAAGCATGCCAGCTTGAAGCTACTTACAAGCAACACTGGTAAAACACACACACACACAAAAGAAGCGACTCGTCTCGTTGCTTTAGCCTCCGAGGCTCGGATCCATCTTTTCAATGTCTGCCGAACGGTTTTGCCATGCCTGTCCGGGGTTTTCCGAGGACACATCCGTGACCCAACTGCCAGGGCAACATGTAAGCCTTGGCCCGCCGGGCCTGCCGGGCCAAGGCTCTGGCTTTGCTTTTCGACTCCGAGCTGACTTCTTTCATTGCGTCATCCACCTGGAATACCTTGCAAGGCGTGAACCGAGAATCCAAGACGTCTGTACTTTGCATCTGGTCTCTTCTTCAAAAAGCTTCGATTACAGAGCCTGCGCGGCCTGCATTGGTGCATAAGCAGCTCATGTGAGTACTTGGTATCGCCCGGTCTTGTGTGTGTGGAGGCCCTGATTAAAAGGTTTTGGAAGCTACATGTACAGACGCAGGGGGACCGTCTCGCAAGCATGGTTGACGGTCCAACGAAGGAGGCCATGCTTGTGACTGATATGGGTCGAGGACGCTCGATCCACGTACCTGCCTGTTTCAGACTGTGTGGCAACCAGGCTAAGCAGAGAACCTGGAAGCCTTCATCATATGGCTGGCACAGGTACTCTGATGATGACAGGGGAACTGTGGATCCTGGATTCTGGACGATAGTGGCTAAAGCCCTACTTCACATTCATATCCACCGTGTGTGTGTGTGTGTGTGTGTGTTTGTGTGTGTGTGTTTGTGTGTGTGTGTGTGTGGTTGGTGTGTGTGTGTGTGTGTGTGTGTCTGTGTGTGTCTGTGTCTCTGTGTCTCTGTGTCTCTGTGTCTGTGTGTCTGTGTGTCTGTGTGTCTGTGTGTCTGTGTGTCTGTGTGTCTGTGTGTCTGTGTGTCTGTGTGTCTGTGTGTCTGTGTGTCTGTGTGTCTGTGTGTCTGTGTGTCTGTGTGTCTGTGT